TTTTAAATTTTGAAATTCAACAATTTGATGTGAAAGCTCTTTTTTTTTTTTTTCTATAGTGACTTAGATAAGGAGATCTATATGGAATAAACTGAAGGATTTGAGACAAAAGGCAAAGAACAACTAATTTGCAATCTAAAAGGAGTTTATATAAGTTGAAGCAAACTTCAAACTAATGGTGCAGGAAGTTAATTCCTTCATGCAAGAGTATAGTTATGGTAAGACCACTTTTGGTCACTGTGTATTTATGAAGAATGTTTATGATAGTGCTCTCATTATTTTTTGATTTTCTAACCATATAAATTTTATCTAATGAAAAAATATTTTCGTAACAATAATATGGCTAAGAAATCCCGAGATAAAAAAAAGGTTTAAGCTAAATTTTCACACAAAATACATCAAAAACTCATTATAAATATTGTTAAATATTTAAATGAACTTGAGAACAACCCAAACGGACTACGATGCCAATATAGAACTATAAAGATAATAGGAAAAGTGTGAAGTTTATGGAAATATCTTGTTGTTATACCCATCATTTGGATTTTCTAACAAGTGGAGGAGTCAATTATAACAAGATAACTATGTGGGTTATGCTTCCTAATTCTTAAAAAGAAAATGGGTAGTTATAGGAGAAAATGAGACATGATCAAAGTAACAACAAAATATAGAGAATTGTAGCATAAGAATAGGAAGCCATATTAGAACATGGAGTACTACTAAAGATTATAGAGCACTACAAAAGATCATAGAAGAGCCAATAGTCTATAAATACCAACTACAATAAAAAAAAAAAAAAAAGAAGGACACACACAAAAATCAACAATCAACTCAATAACACTTGCAAAAAGCAAGCACTTTCTTAAGTTTCAACACATTTGAAACTGATTAGACAATAGATTATAAGCTGATGGTTGATTGTAAGCAAATAGTTGGTAGGTTGTAAACAAATAGTTGGTAGGTTGTAATCAAAATAGGTTGTAATCAAAGTAGGCTGATAGTTTATAGGATGATAGATTTATTTTTTGGTATTATATTGTTGCTATAACTTGTGTTATGATCCTCAAGAATTGAATTCCTACATGAATATTATATCTAAGAGAAGAATCTTAATATGTAAGCATCATTTCTCATCAATGAATGGAAGTTCTTTTTAAACTTTATGTATTATTTTATCTTTTGTTTCAAAATCCTCTTAATTGAGGTTTGTATAAAAGAAGCCTCAAGAATTTTATTGGCCACAATGAAAGTGTCAATTATATTTTTAATATGACACTAAATTATCAAGGATTTAATGAAAGAAAAACGTCACTCCAAAAGATGTCAACTTTTAGGACTCTTTATTTAAGAAATTCTATAAAAGAGGATTGCGAGTGAAGATAAACCTATATGATGACAGTAGAAGAAAGATAAATCCTATTACAAGAAAGATTCATAAAGGCCGTTAAAGAACTAAATATTAAACATAAGGCCCACATTTAACAATTGCAAGAAAAGCATAAACGAAGCCATAAAAATCATTATAAGGAACTAAAATTGGCTAACAACAAGATAATTCCACTTGTCAAGGCATATGGTAACTTCTTTGAGGATGTAAGAAGTTACAATGGAAGATGCAATTCATCATTTATATCTAAACCCTCTACATAAAGACTTCAAGTTAATAGAAAAGCTAGTCATTCCATAAAAGAATCCAATTATAGATTTGCAAATATTAATTCTATAGAAATTAGAAGGTTCAATTATAAATCTACAAGTATTAATTCTACTGGTGTTGGAAGCTCTAATTATAAGTCTACATGTATTAATTCTATCAAAATTTAGAGCTCCAATTACGGGTTTACCGATACGGATTCTCGCTAGATTTAAAAGCTCTAATTTCAAGTCTGCAGGTATTAATTCTACAAAATCAAGATCTCTAATTGTAGGTCTACACATACAAAATTTGCTAGAGTTAAAAGCTCTAATTATAAGTATACATATGTTAATTTTACATGAATTGAAATCTCTAATTACAAGTCTGCAGATACAAACTCTACTAGAGTTGAAAGCTTTAATTACAAGTCTATTTGTATTAATTCTATTGGAATTAGAAGCTCTAATTACAAGTTTGCTTATATTAATTCTACTAGGGTTGGAAGCTATAGTTATAGATCCGTAGGCACAAACTCTCTACGGGGACTCGTAGATACGGACTCTATAAAACTTAAAAGCTCTAATTACAAGTCTATAAGTATTAATTCTATTGGGACCGAAAGCTATAATTGCGGGTTTGTAGGGATTGAAAAACTATAATTATAGGACTAGAGATACAAACTACGTAGGAATTAAAAGCTCCAATTATAGGCCTATGGGTGGAGACTCTGTAAGGACTAGAAAATCTAATTATAAATCTATAGATATTGACTCTGTAAAGACTAGAGATCTTAATTACAAGTCTACAAGGAGTAGAAACTATAATTACAAGAATGTAAATGAATGACCTAAGCGGCAAACCATCAACCCTTTGCAACTTGACCCCGAATACATTTTGGAGGCTACAAGACAACCTTACGGACCTAGGATGCAACATATTCACAATACGAATCCTAAATTATATCTTAAGATCATTATGAATAATTTTGATCGAAGCATTACAAATATATAAATTCATTTTAAGCTCTTACAAAAAATTTAGATTTGGATTATGAAACAATGGTTAATGATCAAAATCTTGAACTAGAAGAATCACCGTAAAGTTTAAGAAAATTCTATATTGATTAATGATCATGATACAAATATTTCAAGGATGGAATCATGCGGAAATATAAATCTAAATGAGAATACTACCATATTTTTCAATATCTATGATGAAAAGGATGGAAAACAACAAATAATAGTCCATACGACTATCTTAATCATCCATAAGAATTATCATCCTAGTTGGTTGTTAGGGTCAAATGAATTAAAAGTCATATTCATTGGGTTGATCCTAAAGCTTCATATGTATGATGTATCTTTAGTCTCTTACTATCATCAATTGTAGTCATGTTCTTTATTCACAAGGTATCTAATACATGTGTAAGAACAGATGAGTTCTATCCATTCATAAATAAATAAATAAATAACCATTGTATGTTATAAAATTGCTTTAAAAAATCTGCTAAGGGCCATAAAAAAAATAAAATCCATCCTCATTCACATAACAAGAGAACTCCCATTTGAGCTTATAAAGTTGGATACTCTTATTGAAATAAAGGGAGTTTGCCTTGTTATTATGATAAATTGATAGATTGCAACTTAACGCATTGTTCTATGGGGTAACAATTTCAAATAGTAGATTTCAAAAAGACTTTTAGATTGGATGATGAAGATGGTGCATTCCTAAAATAAAAAATAAAAAAAATAATAAAAAAAGAGGGATAAATGAAACTTTAGAGAATAAGAAGAGTTCATAATGAGATTTCTTTCCATATATGAGATAAACAAAATAAGGAGGCGAGATGTTATATCCATCATTTGGATTTTCTAACAAGTAGAGGAGTCGGTTATAATGAGATAACTACCTAGGCTATGCTTCCTAAGCTGTTAGGAGAAAAATAGACGAGTTACAAGAGAAAATGAGACATGATCAAAGTAATAACAAAATATGAAGGGTTACGAGCACAAGAATAGAAAGTCACAACAAAATATAGAACACTACCAAAGATCATGGAGCACTACAAAAGATTATGAAGGAGCTAAAAACCTATAAATACCGAGTTACAACAAAAGAAGGATACAAAAATAAAAAACACTTGCAAAAAGCAAGCATTATCTCGAGTTTCAACACACTTAAAACTTATTAACCGAGTATATTATAGGCTGATAATTGATAAACTATTATCAAAGTACACTCGATAGATTTTTTTCTCTAGTACTATATTGTCGTTGCGAGCTTGTGTTATGATCCTCAAAAACAAAATTCCTACATGAATATCATATTTAGAGAAAGAATATCAATTTGTAAATATCCTTTCTTATAAATGAATGAAAATTCATTTTAAACTTTGTGTGTTATTTTATTTTAATTTTTTAAAATTCTCTTAATTGAGTTCGGCATAGAGAACATGCAATACTTCCAACTCCTATTAGAAATTCACCAAGGATCGTGTAGGAATTGTTTTACATATCAATGAGTAGATAAATTCAATGATAATATTGACTACTCAAGTCAAGGTAAGGTTCCACCATTAAAGAATCCTTCTCTCTTGACCAATAATGATGAGGTCATTGCATTTTTTCAGAGTGTGGAGATAAGTATTCGTATTAATTCTCAGTTTTTCTTATATATAATTGAGAGAATTTACTTTCTTTAGCTTATAAGGAAAATGAGATATTATGGAATGATTTTCTTTGCATAATTGAGATAAATTCTTTCTTTATTATCTAACAACTCTTATCAAATAATCTTAACATATTATTTTTCTTATGTACACGTAAAGTATAATTGGACTGGGATCAACAATGGAACCCCGATTTTAAGAACAAGTCAAAAGGTCCAATACAAAGAAACGAAAGGATTAGTGACAATCCTTCAAACTGGGAGGATTAAAAATTATATGCCCTTCAACCTTTTATTGGATTCTTATCTTCCTTGCCTAGTGAAGAATACCTCTAAACCCTCTTGATAAACAGAGTGCTAATCTTTATAGTTCTACTAGTGCGAAATGAGAACTTAACTTGGTGATTAATTAGGACTTCTGCTGAGACTCTAAATTACAAAAAAAATTCAAGCCGTTTATTGGGACTATGTGAGAACGATAAATATGTCTAACCAAAACCATACACAAACAGAAGTTGCAGTACCTTCTAGTGATGTTGGCACTGGGATTAATACCACAACATGTGGATGACCATCTACATGTTCCCTTTTTCTTCAACTTGAGGAGACGGCCAATAACCCGTTTTCAATGTAACTGTAGTTGAAATGTTTTAACCCTGGACTTAATTTCCAGCATAAGAACATGGTGATACAGTTTTTACAAGAGAAACCTAGACAACCCAATTTTGTCTCCAGTAGCTTGAACATCCTTCCGGATTTGCTGCCTATACTCTCTGAAACTGAACTTTCTATACCTAACTGGCTTAATGCTACTCTCTATTACAGCATCATAAGAGGGACAGTAGAAATATGCCACTGAAAATCTTTCAACTTCTTGAGCTACTACCCTGTGTTCGATGCTTCTGTAAACATCATTGCTAAATGCCTGCATTTCATTCGGACGCTAACATGAGAAACAGTGTTGTAATATATCTTAGATATTTAATTTCCATTTACATTATTTAGATTAAGCGTCGTCACCTGGAACAAGTCACCAATACTGATTGTTAGAGCTTCTGGCTCAGGTCTAACACTAACCCATCTCCCATCTTTCATAAATTGCAGTCCCCCAACTTGGTCTTGATATAGAATTGTTAGGAACCCACTATCGGTGTGAGGCATCATGCCACGAACCTCTGAAGAAATTGGACATGGTGGGTATCTGTTCATTCGAAGGTAACTAGTGCTTGGTGAACAATTTTCTCCAAAGAAACTGGAATGGATAGCCAAGTTTTGAGCTAAAACTTCAGCTAAATTTTGAGCTAGCAGGGCAGCTGTTTTTGCGAAAGCTTCAATGGTTGACCTGGAAAATTAGAACAAACGTGATCATAACTAAGAAGCAAAGAAAGATTAATTAATAGAGAGTAAGATTACAATCGTTAAGAAGAGATAACTTAATGGTTGAAATTAACTTGAAATTCCAATATGGCAGAAAAGAGTAGCAAAGTAGGAGGATTTGATGCCTATCCATGTCTGAAAAGAAAAAAGAATGTAATTGCCATTCATCACTTTTTAAATCAATTTAAAAAAAATTTCAATAAAAAAAAAATAAGGGGTAAGTGAGCACATTGTGATATAAGGGGTATGAATAATAGAATAATAAATATGGTAATTTTTAACGAGTAGAGTAAGGAATTGGTTTAATGCGTGGGATACCCATCCTATAAGCATTTCTAAATAAATAAGATACACCATGGCCATAGTTGCAAACAAGTAGAGCAAGCTAATGTTTGGGAGTTAGGTGGGAACGTAAAACATCAGCCATGCATGAACAGCAACGTAACATGAGTTGGATAAGCTTTGAGTAGTGCAATGTCGGCTGCCTTGCATCACTTCATGTTTAAGGTTTGTGTCTTATATATGTAGAATATTTGTGTTTCTAATGTGAGGAAACCAACATAAAAAGGTAAATTCTGGAATAACCCCTAACTCATGGACTAGTGAATTGCGCGAGCCGAGCTCTAGATACAAGGCTCAAACATGAAATTATTGTTTGGAGTAATATTTCATTCTATTATTACATAATGAGATGTTCTAATTGTTTTCTAACATATCTTTAATTGTCTCCAAATAGTCATTTCATAAATTAAAAAAAAAAAAATCATTCAAATTAAATGCAGATTTTAGCATGTGGAATATGACCCTAATCTCCAATAGTAAGATGAGAAGCTCATGGTCAATTACCTAGGATCTAGTGCAATTCACATGCAATTAGTATATTGGTTCGATAGAAAAACTTGCCGAAAAGACTAACTGGAGACAAGCCTTTATTTGAGATTTAAATTAGCACAATTTCATGTGTTTTTGTGCCTTAGTGTTTACATTGCTAGGAATTGAATGCAAATTGTGTGCTTAAATCACACAGCCCAAATAAGACCTTAGTCACTTGGTAAAACCAGCGGGTTGGCCTATGTAGAAAATCCAGCATGGAAGATTTTTATACCCTTATTTCCTTTGGCTTTCTTATGTAACTTTGTCTAAGTATGTTATATACCAGTCCTCGTGTGAAATGATAGGTCGTATAGGTCGTATGTTACAGAAGACCATTTCAACACAAAACCTTAACGCATTAACTGAAGTTTCGGGATATGATTTATATTATTTTCTTTAATATATCTTTTAAATAATTATTTTAAATCAAAAACTTAACATATTAGGTAAGATTTTAGATATGATTTATATTATTTTTTCTAACATATTTTCTTAATTGAAAGTCTTTTAGACTTAAAACGTATATAAACTTATACTATACTATACTTAATTAATTAAAAGATTAAATAAAAATAGTAAGATTCAAATTTTTAATAGTTAGGTTAACAATAATATGATATCATATTAAAAAATTATTTTAATTTAAAAATTTAACTTTTTAAGTAAAATATCAATATATAATTTATATTATTCTATCTGATACATTTTCAAAAAAAATAAAAAATTTTATCTTTTTCGTAAGCATCATCGTAAACTGTAATGAGGTCAGAAATATGGTGGTTCTATCTTATTGGAAGTATCACTATAACATGTTATTTTGGTAATTGCACAGAAAAGAGAACAATAAGTACATATATAAGCATACGTTCATGAAGCAAACATCAAAAGGTGAGTAGGATTTGATGTTGGGCAGTATTGACAAGATAGAACTTGATGGTGCTATTAAATCATCTCGATAATGCCAAAGATCTCTAATTATTTTCGTTGCAATGATTTAAAGTTCATGTCAAAGATATATAGGAAGTACCTGAGATTCTTGTATTCTCTCATCTTGGAAACATCAGTTAGAGATATGTGAAAAGCTTCGGACCAACAGAACTGACTCAAACAAGTAGCTTCAGGGTTCCCCCACCGGTAACTATTTGCCAATACATTCAAGAATTTCTCATCAGCCTTCTTGTTAAAGGGTTCATGAAACACCTTCATTTGCTCAAATTTCAAGCTTTCCAAAACCTCCCTTGGAACCCCATGATTCAGTACTTGAAAGAAGCCCCACTGGGTTGCAGCTTCAGCCGTCTCTTTTATGCACTTCTCTCTCTCCAAATGTCCAAACGTTAAGCGACTGATATCAATGAGAGGCAGCTCACATTCTTCAACCATATTGAGAAGGTTCTTTTGATCATCTTTTGCTTTCACACGAGCGTCCTTGAAAAGGGCCTTGTAAGTCTCTTGAAGTGGAGGATCTATGTCCATTATTAATTGGCCAAATTGGTTTACCCTCATGCAATTATGACAAGCTTGCTCTCTAGCTGTATGGAGGTGCAAGAAAACCGACTATCTGTAATCAACAGACATATTTGCCCCACAAACTCACCGACTAATTACTCATATACAGCTCATGCTTCGAGCCTGCAACTTTGATTGGACTTTCTTAATTTCTTCGTTGCACCGAAATTTCCTTCATCATTGGGTAATCTTCCAACCACCACTGCTCTCCTGCTGATCAATTAATACAAAATTAGTGAAATTAGTCTTCAACAGGTCGATTTATGGCCTAATTCTTGTTAACTTTCGTGTTCAAAAATACACTAAATTCATATCTTATAATATAGATTGATATTATGTATCCTATCACCACCAAAGGTTTGGTGATCTCCTTTTTAGGAGTCAACTAGTCATATAGATACTCTGTCAAGAACAAAAACCCTAGTCGACATCCAAATTTATCCTGACTGGAGCAACAGCATATCAAGAAACTATGCATATGCAGCATATTAAGAAAATAGTATTAGAAATTTCAATGAAATATGTATTATTGCTAATTTCGCGAACGTTCCTCACCTGTGAAAATGGATCCTCGAAATTCTATGCAGCCTGAAGAGGATTAACAAGTGCACTTCATTTCTGCAATTATATATACAATATCCAGCTAACTTAATTTAATTCACGAGCCATTAATTATATAAAAGGAAGAAAAAAGAAAAATATATGTGTAGGCTTTGATGCAATGTATAAAGCATATTGAAAAAAATAGAATACCCTTAGTTCCAATGACAGACCACACACCGTTTGGAAAAGTAAGAATCACACTGCAGAAGAGTTTTTCAATATTTATACAAAACAGAATCCAGTTAATTAACTTACATGAAAAGATTGTTAATTTTAGGGTGGTTTTTTGTTTTTTTTGGTACTTGGAAGAAGAAATAGAAGTACAGATGGAAGTACAGAGAAGAAATACATATGATCATAGCTAGGGTTGTATATTTAAATACTGGTTATTGTGTGCTTCTCTATCTAGATTGTTACCTGGGGGCGAATTAATTTATGGTTGCAAATGAGAGCACGCACTAGAGAGATGTAAGGAGGAATAAAGTAATAGGATATTTGTTTTGTAGGTGTGGTGTGGCTAATTATTAAGGTCTTGAAATCTAAGTCATGTAAATGGTTCTTATCCCTCCACGTCTTCGACCTTAAATGTCGTCCCTCTTAATCAAGCTAGCAATATGCATCAATGTGCATCTAATATATGTTTTCAAATAGATGAGTCGTGGAAGACTCCGCTACTAAAATTAAGAAAGATGGCTCACGTAAGCAGGATGTGAGTTTAGAACTCATCGATAATGGTAGATGGGGTTTTTTTTTTTTTTTTTTTTTTTTTTTTTGCATTGAATACCGGTAAAACAATTCCTTTAAGTTGGGTGAACTTTCGACGATCAAGATGATGGTCGGAAGGTGGCGAATTGATTTAATACAACAAGGAAAATGGCAGTTAGCGATAGAATAATTCGTCTCTAGAAGTGTTTAGAGACGGATTTGTGACGATACAAATTCTTTCACTAAAATGCTTGTTGCTAACCCTAGCGACAAAAGAAACATATCTCGTTGCTAATTAGTGACAAAAATACTATAGCTAAAAGGCTAAATTTCATTGCTAATGGGTCGTCAATTCCAAGATTGTATCGTCGCTATTCCATCCCAATGTTCATCGCTAAATGTTTCTATCGCTATTCCGTCGCTAATTTAAAACATCAATTTGTCACTACATTTATTGATTTTTTAAATTGAAAATTTATGTTTTTATTTTTTGTGATATTTTTTATAGTAATTAATAATTAGAAGAAAAAACATATTATTAAAATTTAATTTTTTATTGAAAATGAAAATTAAATTAATATTAAAAAATGTATTTGTTAGTACTTAACAAAAACAAATAAAATGTCACTCATTTTGATCATTCGATCCCTTATCCTCATCCCGTCGCTCGGTGGGAGGGACGGTGATGTCTTGAATAGTGGACAAATCTACGAGCTAATCCGGACGTCTATGCTAGCCTAGTCAACATGGAGGTGAGTGTGTCATACCGAAACCGTAGCCCCGTATGGAACTTTATTGCTGCATGGCAATGTTTTATAGCTCGTCTTATCTAGTCCGCATCCCCCGTATTGTCCGTTTTGCCTCCTTGTACGGCCCTCGAACCTCCTCGGTAGACATGTCGATGTTGTTGATATAATGTGACAACATAGAGGACGAGCAAACACCACTCGATTAGGATAGATAATATGACGTCCGTGTGCCTATACCATATACCCTCTTCTTTTTCTCCCTTACAACCTTAATGTATATGGCGTTCTTGTCAAACTTTGGCTCTAGGATTCCTTCCGCTTGCCACATCCTAATAGCTTTACGTATGAGCTTTTCCACACTCTTCCGTGTAATCGAAATAAGTATAACGTTAAAAAATTAAAATAAATTTCAGATTATATTTGCACATATAAAATTTAGAAATGAAAAACACTTACCATTGTATATTGAGCATGTAGATCAATGAAAAAACTATCTCGTCGCTTGTGAATGGTCTAAAACAATTCAAAACTCATTGGCTCACGTCCCAATTTTGTATCTTGAAAAAAAAATCAATCACAAACAATATGAGATACAAATTAAAATTTTCTTAAAAATTTAATTAATAATATAACATATGATTTACCAAGTGGCAGGCGTGTTCACCCAAAGAGATGGATCCTTTGTATGCCCGGATGGGCCTATACTCGATCCATCGGTCTCCAACATTCGGTTCGCGACGCCTACTCTAAACGAGCCTTGCAATCAAGTCTCGGAAAATTCTTGATGTCATGAGTGCTAAACCCCCTGCCTAATAAAATGAGGTCGTTCGGACATTGAACTATGGCCGTAGATGAAGTCGGAGTAGTGCTTCCTTGCTAGAGCCTCCCAAGCTTCTCTAGCAATCTCCTCAATGGTCGGATCCCAATAAAAATATTTATGCACGAATTTAAAATTTTTATTTTAACTAAATTTAATGTTAAATTAAAATTTTTCAATATAATAAAAAAATTAATAATATGTTATCCTGAATTCACTAAAGTAGAATTATTAAGTGACATCCGAAACGAACTTTTATACCGACCCATCGACGTCTAATCGCTCGCTTGAAAATATTAGTTATCCTACCGTAATAATATCTATTAGGTGGACTAAAACTATTAAGCATTAATTAAAAAAATAGTAAGTAATTATTGAAATGATATATTAAAATAAAAAAAATAATAACATCATCTTTAAAAAATTACATACCATCCGTAAGCGATAGAAATAATCCATCGACTCGGATGAGCTTTGGGAGCTCTCTAAACAGGAAGATACATCGACAAAATTGGAACCCCCGGGAATGGTGTTAGAACCTCCATTACCGATGCGGAAACCTCTATTGCTAGTGCTGGAACCTCTCGTTCCCAATGCGGGAACCTCTATGGCTAAGGAAACCTCTATGGCCATAGATACACGTCCATGACTACCGAAAGGTGATCCCGAAGTGATTGTGGGTGGTCAATCCAAACCACGTGTCATAGCCGAAAAATATAACCTAAGAAAATTAAAAAATACCGATATTAATTAAAAAATTATAATAAAAATTTATCTAATTAATTTAATAATAAATTCAACTCAATGTAATAAAATTATTTCTAATTCGAAAGTTTACTAAATTTTATATATTGATATTAATTAACAAATTACAATATTATAATCAAAATTTATCTAATTAATTTAATAATAAATTCAACTAAATGTAATAAAATTATTTCTAATTCAAACATTTAACAAAATTTAAATATCGATATTAATTAACAAATTACAATATTATAATCAAAATTTATATAATTAATTTAATAATAAATTCAACTAAATATAATTAAATAATTTCTAGTTCCAAATTTTACTAAATTTTAAATTTTGATATTTAAAATTAATCAATTAATTCAAATTATCATAATTAAATTAATCCTAAAGCAAATTAACTTAATTATATTAATCATAAATAATTATAATATTAATCCTAATTGGAATGTTAATAACATTTTAAAATAACAACAAACAAATTAACAATTAATATTCACCTAACAATTAACAAAAACAATAAAAAAAAATAACAACTTAACAAATTAACAATTAATTAATAAAATTTCAATCTACTTATTAATAAAAAAACTAAAAATTAACAAAATTAACCTAATAACTAACAATTAACATTAATCTAATTAAAAAAATAAAAGATCTAGAGAGAGAACAAATTACCGAGAGGAGAGGAGGGATCTGTCAACGGATTTTAAGGAGAAAGTTATGCATTGCGGACTAAGGGGGTTGGGGAGGGAGTGGAGTGGCATGGGGTAGTGGAGGAGAGGGAAAGGGGAGAAATATTAGGGAAGAGAAAGAGTTTGGAAGTTAAAGGGGTTTAGGATTAGCAACAAATAGCATTAGACGTGTTTGCATCGCTAATCGGTCAATAATTAGCGATGAAAGCAAGTGTTCATCGCTAATTTGAATTTCAAACATCCGATTAAATCTTTTAGAAGAATTGAGAAGTATTCTTAAATTTATGATAGAAATTTTGATGTCGCTAATTCATCATTAATTAACAACGAATATAACTATTCTATTGCTAATTTGAAGTTTCTACGGTCGTCAAATTTGTTTACAAATTTTTGAACTTACCAACAGAATATTATCCGTCACTCGATTGGCAACAAATAATTATGTATAATATCTATCATTACACTAAAGTCTGTGTGTAGCGATGGAATTTATATCCCATCGCTAAAATATATCACCAGATCCATCATCCCGCTCTCCATAATGATGAAAATATTTTCTTGATTAATTTTCTATCTCAAAACCATCACTAATTCATCACTACATAATTTATTTTCAATTTCATTGCTATTTGATCGCTATTGAGT